TCAGCCAGTCTGCAGAACCATCAGCCAGTCTGCAGAACCATCAGCCAGTCTGCAGAACCATCAGCCAGTCTGCAGAACCATCAGCCAGTCTGCAGACAGCCTTTCATTTCAGTTTAAATAAGCCTTTAAAACAGTGTCACTGTGGTTGTTGGAGGTTTATTAGAGTTGGTGAAGGGCATTCTCTCAGCACTCGTGGTCAAAGTTAAGGTCAGGGGTGAGATTATAGTGAGGCTGAACAAATAAATGGACAACAATAAATTGTTCTAACAAGTGAGGCAGTGTGAGTGTGTTTTATTGGGTGGACCTCAATCCCTCTGTTTGCTTATGTGTAGACGGGGCCAACGTGATAATCCTGCATTAATGAAAAGATCTCCTCAGACCAACAAATACACTCAGTGTTTTCACACACACTCACTGTCTGAAACCAGACGTCAAACCAGCCAAGACTTTATGACTTGGAAACGAGTCGAACCATGAGCACACCTGCACCGCAACACACTGTCGTTCTCCTAAGTGTGTGTATCACTGTGCAGTGGTGGCATCTCAGCTGCTTTGACTAATGAAAGAGCTCCACATCTCTCATCAATGAATAATGCATCACACATTACACAACGCTGTATTGCATGGATTATTAATAAGAACACTGTGCACTGCTGACATGTACAAAAACAAGTGCAAAAACAATATATCTGTATTAATATATGATATGTACACTTTTATACAAATAATATACAAACAACTACAGTGAAACAATGGGACTTACAGAACCAGGAGAAATAATCTTTAAGTTTGAGAACAGGTACCATTCATTTGTGTATTCAAGGTTGTTTTGCGTGTTCTATTGAGATATTTTTCTGCAACCCTACAGGTCAAATGTTTTTTTTACCCTGAGTTCAGTGAGTCCATGTACATTTTAACAGCTACAGATGTTTTATCATAAGTCCATGTACATGTAAGCTAATAGGAATTTTAACAGCTACAGATGTTTTATCATTTTAATTATAGGGCCAGGTCAAAGTTCAGCACAGCTGTGGCAAAGTTTAACAGGAGTGTCTGTATGACGAATGGTTAAAAGTGTTACAAGCTAAAACAGGTGTCAAAAGAATTATTCCACCCTGTGGCAGGTTTTTATAGTTGCATATTCCTTTTCAATACGTGCAGAGATTTTCAAAAATGCCTGGTTTTAATTCAAACATGGTGCTACTGTATCTTGTCTCCACGATGGCAGAATTAAGAGAACGGAATTAAGACCAGGGTTAGATAGACGGACTGCTGTACATGGAAGACACCATAGAAATGCTGAAATGCTACTGTACATGAACTATGACGCAGCATCACATCACTATGGATAAATCATGTGTAGATCCTAGAACCTCAACTGTGTGTCATTCATGAAAAGACTGCTGCCCGAAACGA